GACATAGACCAAATTTTTTTTTTTTTACTGTGCCTGTGCATGTTTATAAAAATGTTTTTCTTTTACGTTGAAATTACTGATGCATTGTACTTTTTAAAACATTTGTTTCATAAAAAATATGTGTATGTTGCAAGCTGTATATAGCTCTTTCGTATTTTACTCTGGCACCCCCCCCCCTTCCCCTTGAGCGCACACGCCCAAAAAGGGCTGTCAGCTTGCCCCCCCCACCCAAGACAAAATCCTGCCGATGCCCATGGCTAGAGGTGCTCGGGGATTGCTACGTACCTGAGCGACGACTATTCCAAGAGTCAGGAGACCAATCTTGAGGCTTTGTTCCCCAAGGAACACTGCAATTGCCCGTCCACAGCCCTGGAATTAACGTTTTTCGATGAACAGGCATAGCTGCTGATTTCGAGTGAAAAGGCAAGAGGCCCTGTTTGCACTGGCCAACAATGTTCCCAAAATAATGACCAAATAGACTCCTTCTGAAATTCAGGCTGGCTACTTTGATAACTATCATCATCCGGGTATATGGTACCTGTTTATGCTAATGACGACCCTTTGGTGGCAGCTAATGGCCGATTCCTACAACAGAATAACCCGCCGACGGATTGGTCACGTGACGACATGTCTGTGGTTCGTCCATCTCCTAAGCGTATCCACATGAGCGAGACGACGAGCAGACGCCGGCGAGGACGAACCGAACCTGTTTGCTACCCCACAGTGTTGCGAAACTCCAGCATCGCACTGCTGTCGAAGAGAGAAATAGACGTTTGCTACTGCGATAAAGACTCGTACGCTGCTGTTACGTGCAGATCGGGACAGAACACCGTGATAAGCTTCGCGTGAAGTGCCACTAGCTTTACTAACCCAAAGCATGACAGTGCCACAGACATGGCCCTGCTTGAGAAGGCTTCGGTGTAAAAGCGACGAAGTTCTGGGCTCGCGGAAGGGTGTTTCGAGATGCCCTCACGCACTCCGTGCTCATGCATGTCACTCAAGTACACAGCAGACACAAGAAATGTCCTGCTCGGTGAAAGGCTGATTAAACGTGCAAGAATTATCGCGCACGCACACCAGCATAGTTTTGACAGAAGCTTCTTGACATGCACTCGGAGGAGTACCGTCAGCAGGGCAAAGTGTCTGCAGTTTCTTTCATGCGTGGAACCAAGAACCGTGAGATAAAATAAAGCAGCGAATGCACAAAACACAACGATGCGCCATTTTTGGTTTAACCATTTGGTAACAAAAAAACAACAAGAAGACATTTAACCGTTGCCAGACTAAACGCTTTTGAAGTCAATCTCCCGCCAAAAATCCGCGAGTGAAAAGGCGACTGACTTTATCAGTCCGTGCATCCGCAGATGAGGTGCAGATCGCAGGAATCGGTGACGTGCCGATCAGGTGATACACGGTCCATGGATGAAAATTACTATTTGGTCCATCGTATGATTTGGCTATAAAGGAGAGCGGCGTAGATGCATATTTGTGACTCCAGCAAAACAGGTGGCCGCTGGCGGGAAAACACCCAACTGGACGGAACAGGTCCTTTTGCAATTTGTACTCCTCTCTCGTGACTTCCGTGATTGCACATTGTCGGCGGTTGGCACGATGACCGCCTAAGTAAAGCGAGGGAAGTTGCGTCGGTGGCGTCTAGCAATGAAAACGACAGCAACGACAAGGCTGCAGAGAAAACCGCGGGCCGTATAATGGCCTAGCGAATTAGGTGGGCCTCGTATCGCTTCTCATGCTGTGTAGAGAAAACAGTTGTCTTAGCGACACCGTCATATCGCCATGTTAAGTTTGCTTCAAATGCAACTTACGCAACTGTGCGAACAAGACGTTGTGTGTTTGTCGACGTTTGTCGGCGCAGTAGAACGGTGGTCCTTCCGTCGCTTCCCCGAAGAAGGCTTGGCCTCTGAAGCTTATTTATGCCAACCCTCTGCAGCAGGTTTTGAACGCGGTGGATAAATATCAGGGCAAGCCATATTTGAAGCCGATGCCTGCCCGCTTAAACCCGAGCATTGCGCGTAAGCTGGCACTTGGCACAGGATGACTTGTTTTCGACCGACATATTTGTCGAGAGTGGCGACCCCTACATGTCTGGAAGCTCAGGAAGTTCCTCTTTGAATCGTATTGATTGCCGACTGCGCCCACTCTGCACTAAGTGCGAACGTGGTGGCACCTGTGAGAAACTTTGGGAATGAAGTGCCGATACTATAGACATAGCTTATTTAGTTGCCCCAATGCCCTCCATTTGGCAACATGGTAGGCATAAGCCTTGTCCACTTTTTACGATTCGTCAAAACACTAACACTGTAACGTGAGTATATCTGACAAGGAAATACTATTATGAAGCTCTCCAATGAAATGCTATAAAAAAGATCTATGAGGGACCCAATAAAATGGAACTTATTCCTAAAACCAATAGAACGTTTTCGCAACAAAACATTTTCCCATCCAATTTTCAGAAAATGGAGGAAGATTGTGATTACTGGGCACTCAATTGCTGCTACTTTTTAATCACGAGACTTGCTCTCTCACTTGCAGACTTACCGTTGTGTGGAGTTCCGACTTCTTTTCTTTCGTGGTGTAGCAGCTTTCTGGTATACTGAGGCCGTTTACTGTGTAGTCGATCGAGCCTTTGGCACCGCAGCACGAAAGCTGGACCATCAAAAAGATAGACAACACATAAGCTATCGTTGAAACCTCACATGCAGGAAGATTTCAACGAAATAATGCAAGTGCCTTTTGAAATCTCTAGAATTCCATGCACGAAGTTGCTAATTAAGAAAGGCAAAATGGAAACTGGGATGTCATCAAAATCTGATTTAGTTACTGAATCAATCTGTCAGATATCTACAATAGGCAAGAAGGAAACTCAACATTGTATTGAGGAACCATGGGACCTTTTTAAAGTGATGAAAAGATCTCTGTATAGATATAAGCATAATTGCCCATAATTTGCCCCTCTGAAAGCCACAATTTTATGCAAAGCAGCATTTTTCTTTTTCACTTCCACCTTGTCGTTCTCTAGATGCTCTATTAAATTTGACAGTCGTAAGTAAGCGCTCTGTCCTGTCCCCTCCTTCTCTTCTTAGTCCTCTGCGCTTTTAAAACCACCGTCTAGAAGCAGCAGTCACATGTTCGTGCCTATATTTAGTTATGCTTATAAATATTTCTGGCTACAGCTTACTACAGCACTGTTATAGCCTCGCAAGTAACATTGCACCTTTCCAGTGCTTATCACCCAGGTAAAAAGTGCCGAGTCACTGGATGGTCGCATGCACGGCATTTGATATTTCGCAGGAGAGAGCTACTGTGCATGCTCTGAATGCGTCCCACAGCCCAGCAGATGACAATTCGCAGAAGACGATTACCAGAATGGTCTACATTTGTGACCAAGCCTTCCTGTTGCTGGCACCTATTCTGCCTTCTGGATGGGGGTCCAACGGCCGGGATGGAGTTATTGAGTGGCCATATTACCAGTACCAAACAGTGCTCTGCAATGTGCACTCTTCCCGTCTGCCACGGGATGTCGCGACGCGATACTGTGCGACACAGTTCGCTCTGGTACTCAAGCGATGGCGGCCTCGCGGCTTGATCGAGGCAACGAGGCACAGCACTCGAGGTTCTAGTGACATGGCAGGTCTACTATCATGTGGCTTCTATAGAGTATAACGTGTGTACACAAAATAAGCGGTGTGCTGTCAATTGATAAGTGATTTATTGGCAGGAAGGGGTACGCACACGGCCGTATGGCAGGCAAAGCATATAGGTAAAAACCCTTACACTGGATTCGGCTTTTGATATCTCAGCACATCTGTGGTGCCTGTAATGCACCTTCAAATGGTGCGTTTACTGTCCTATCCCGCTTGTGTGCCGAAAGAGGTGCCAAAGCGGCAACAAGTGGTGTTAGAAGAGCCAGCGTGCCACGCCGTCGGACGTCGCGATTGTGGCGGTTGGTTGTAGAAATGCCGGTGGAAAGGACGAGCAAACGCAAGGGTTGCAATGTCCCTTCTCACGTCTGCTTTGTTTTCCGTCGACTGCCTGGCTGTACAGCGACCTACAGCCAGGGTCACACTGCTCACGCATCATACAAAAGACAGCCTGCAAACAAGAGTCACCGGAATGTCCGTGGTTCGATTGCCGCGTGCCAAGTTTCCTCCTTGAACTCATTGCCATGCGGCATTCGAAGCATAAATTTCGCGGTGACTCCGCTGCCGTGCTGCTGCCGGGATCACGGGAGGCAACAGCAGTGTTGCCAATTTAGCGGTTTTTCCGCTGAATTTCGCGGTTTTCTCAGTTGTCTGGTGGAAAAGAAATGGCTGTTTTGCGGTTGGCTGGTTTCTTAGCGGTTTTTCAAGCTATGTTGGCGTTTTTTCTGGCTTGTATAGAGTGTTCTCCAGTCTAAATCGATCAATCTTAAAAAGCTTAATTTATCGGGTAAGTGATAGTTGTGAAATCGTTAGCTTTGCATACTCTCAACAAGATTGTAGTCGGTGGCAATAACGCTTGCTACACCACTGAGATATTATGGTGGTAAACATTAGCTTCGTTCAATTTACCTGCACTTCTTGCGCTGGTGCAGGAGGTGCCAGTAAATCGAACGAAGCAACTAAAACACGCCTCGAACTGTGTGTTAATGTATGAATTTGTTTTCCAAGCCAGCAGATGACATATGGGCCCAGTGGACTGCGCATTACAACTGAGAAAAAAAATGGGGGCTATAGGATTCTGAAGTTTGAGAGTGGTTACTGGAAGTTCCAAGCAACAATGAACAGGTCAGATACCGCTACTGGAGATAATGTTTTGCGAAACATGCAAATTTGGTCACTGAAACTTTAAACTGCCAAAATATTGCAAGAAAAGTTGGAACTATAAAGATTTTTGTTGACAGGTATGGCTAAACAACAAGCGTGGTAAGCACTCTTAAGTCAAACGGGAGAGCTCTCTTCTAAGGGTTCTCTTATATAATGTGTCGTATCTAGACTAACTATAGCAGTAAATAGTGCTAGAAAGTAATTCTTCCCCTTCGCCTTGAATTTAGAGTTTGTTCAGAATTCCTTTAGCGAGTTTTTAATTATTTGGGTTAGCAACACCTGGCAACAGCATGAAACTTTTATAATGCCATAGGGCAGAAATCAAGGGACCACTTTTGAGGACGCTGTACACGCGCCAGTTTGAAATGCACTCAAGGCAATATTTACTGCTAAATTTATGTACGGCTAAAAGGCTGACCAAACAAGACACAACAGGTACCGTGCACGCCATTCGCTGTACCAGAAGAGGAGGCTTTCCTTTAGTTTTGGTTTGCTTTGGGACGTTTTTTTTGCTGGGGGAGAGCTACCCTTCGCTTGCGTCCTTGGCATGAAGCGTGCTCATCACGTGGGCCCAGACAGCCCCTCACACATCCTGCTGGCCATCGTCAAGGCCTTCGCCGTCAGTGCCAGTCCCCAATCTTCCAGACACAAGAAAAGGGACAAGACGACAGTGAGGAGGAAAGCCGCGCTGTTTGCATGGTCGACGTCCCCGCTAAAAACCTATGCACATTCTGCAAATCTCGCCCTTTTCTAAAAGCACTTCTTTTTTTTTTTGCTGTCCACGGCATTTGTTGCATTCTCTTTGGACAGCCCTTAACTAAGCAGCGTGCGATAAAGCTGAAAGTCCTTACGCCTTGCTGCAAATCGTGGAGAAAGTTGGGCAATCCGGTCTTGTTGGCCTCTATGAACTTGAGCAGCGTCGCTGTCAGCGTGTGCTCCAACTGCGACAAAAACGTTGTTGTAAGGAAGTAGCTCGTGCTAACGACCCCGACAATTGCACCAGAGACCGACGCTTACGCATCATGCGTCTGGAAGAACATAATAAAATGGGATGGACACAATCTTACTAACCTCTGCGCTGTTGGCATACTTCCAGACGAGGCCTATAGCTACCGTCTCCACGACGACGAAGGCAATCATGGTGATGATAAACTGAAATGGAGAAGCAGGTTGACACACACACGTCTGAGCTAGTTGTTTTTCAAACATGGTGACACAGCAGGGTTATGGCTTTTTTTTATTTTCAGGATTTAGAATGTTGGAGACATAATTCCGTAATTTCCCACTTTGAATTCGCAGCTTATACGCAAGTCATTGTTTATCCGATGTCCACTATCGAGCCAAATTAAGGGGATATACCAGCCAAGCGGTTATTTTTCAGTTATTCGAGTCTCACAGCGATCGAAAAACATGACAAATTTTCTGAAAGTTTCCTTAATTTAATTGAGGACTACAAGAACAAGCTGTCTTGGGAAAAACAAGACAGTGAATTATTTTATCTTTAAGTTTTGAGTACATTTTGAGCATTATAGGGCCTTTTCTAAAAGAACCTAGATTGAAATCTTCTTTTCAATGAAAGAAAGTTGAAAGGAATCACTAATTTCTCTTTGGAGCTTAAACAACTTCAAGATACCCAATAGAACATGCACTGGAGTCCATCAGCTGAACGTATTCCTACTAAATTAGCTGTTTACCAATTCCTCTCAAAAAGCCACTGACAAAAAATTTATGGGTGCCAAGATGCATATTTGTTTTTTTACTAAACCCTGATATACACGGTACCAGGCACCCAGAAAAAACAAATTGTGGATCCGAATCTGGCTCGCTTCTGCATGCACATCGCTACTTGAGAGTCAAGTGTCCGGGTCTGCGTTACTTGGTTTTCATGGTGACGTCGTGGTGCACAAGATACTTTTTAATTAAGCTGTGGGCCATCTGACACACACAATCATTATTACATGTAAAGAGAATCCATGAAACACGACTGTAGCAACCACAAAAATACCAAAACATGTACCGATTTAAAGGAATCTTGAGCATGTAATTGTGGGAAGTTGTTTCCCGTGCCCTATGATCTCATAGTGCACACGCCAGCCCTCTTGATGTTGGTTCCACTGTTTTAATTTTTCTCGGCAAGGGCTTTGCATACACACACACACACAAAACAAAAGTTGTGTGTTGACAGCTTAATTTAGTGTTTTGCAAAAAGAAAAAACAAGATATCTTCAAAGGCATGCAAGTTATTCTTCAAAAAACTGTGCAAGTTATTGTTTACTATTCTACAAAAAGGGGGGGGGGGGGGGGGCGGTGACTTTAGTAAAAAAAGAAAAACGTTTCCGTGTATTTGAGATTCTTTTTTTTTTTTTTTTTTCATTTGGTTTTTTTTATTGGAGTTTATTTTTTACCATAGAGCCAGCATTTTTTGGTGTCGGACAAGAAAAAAAAGAAAAGATAACGCAGAAAAAAAAACACACAAAACAAGACATGCACGGTTACGAGATTTCTCTATCCTCTGGGGCATGTATGTGTAACCCGAAAAGCCGGAAAACATCCCGGTACCGATAAGAGAATAAAAGGAGATAAGGGGTGTGGTTCCCTAAGCCTCGAGAAGATTTCAGTGGGGCCGCATTCTGGGTAGACACAAAATAGAACCGCAGATAAGGGTTCCTTCCCACGAAGCCCGGGCTAATCTCGTTCAAGGGCAGCTCCGATTTGGGGTTTTGTCCGTATTCCCCATTTTTATTTGTATATACAAATAAACCCCATTCGCAGTTTATTTGTATATATTGAAAAACATGGCACCGCATCTATGGCACCTTTAGGTTCAATCACATACTTGCAACTCCTTAAAGGGATGCTGAACCAAAATCTGGATTCCACAAAACACGGCGGCAAAAGTGTGCAACGGGAGGCTACAAACACCAAAACATCACTCATGCAGCGATATCTCGAACAAACGACCATATCTTTTTAAAAAAAGGGGCCGCATTTGACAGATATGTTTACGTCTTGTTTCACCGAGAAGGAGAGGGAACAGCCTCGCGTTTTCTCTGCCTCGCCGCCTTGAGGGGGCGAAGCGAAGAGAGGAGGAAACAAGATATCTTAACGTCATGCGCCTCGTCGGCCGCGTTCAATCTTGACCTCTTTTTCCAAAAATACAGCCGTCCATTCAAAATATCACCTTACGAGTAGTGTTGCAGGGATTGTAGCGTCCCGCCTACATCTCCTGCATTGTATTCTGAAATCCAGATTTCGGTTCACCATTCCTTTAAGGCCTGTTCACATACTGGCGACTTCTTGGGACCGTGAGCCTCGAAACCTCTTGAAATCTCTTACGACGAGAGTACACAATGGCGCCTTCTGTCGGGTAGCCTTGGAACATTTCTTATCAGAACGCATTTTATGCACCAATGCTTCGCCATATGCTCGGAATAATTTTGGTATTGTTATAACCGACCACTTCTAGTAGTACTTGGATTTTGTCCTGCATGCATTGCAAAAATCCTTTAGGTTAGTTATATGCAAAGTGGAAGCGTTCCAGGGATACCTCATAAATGTCGCCTGCCTGTTCTCTCGTCCTAAAAAAAAAAAAGGAAGACGTTTACTTTTATGCAGTGTAAGGTCAGTCTGCCTTTGAGGAGCGGCGACACTGGCTTACGCTGTAGACAAGAAATATGGCCGATGCAGTGTGGTCGCTAGCCTGGGGTCTTCAGAGGGACAAGGAACCGAAACGTGAACTTTTAAAGAATAATGCCCAGCCGAGCTTTCCGGGTCGGTACAGTGCCCAAATTTGCGATTCATACAGATTCCTCGGAAACAGAGTCCTATGATCACACCGATCGGGCGAACCGTCAACCGGAAGCAGACGGTGTGAGCGGGGCCTCCTGGGAGTAGCCGTGGCGGAGCCGACATATGCTTACATAATCTCTCTCTCGTTCTTCATTCTCCTGCATAGGGGTATTCACGAGACGCCATAATGTCGGACATTATTCGCGGCGGATGCTCGGAACTAGCTCCCATTTATCGTCTTCCAAGAACAATCATCCTGATTGAGTGGAATGGACGTCGAACGTGCATCCGTGTTTATTCCTCGCAGGCAGCGAAGCCAAAGCTATGGGCACCCGTAGACCTTGAGCACCGATGAAAGCTGCGCACGCGCGGAGTTGGTTTCTTCTGTAATGCCAGAAAAAGTTGTCCTCGAGCATGCACTGCAACGACGACAATGACGCGGATGGGTCGCGGGTATACAGCAGAACTTTAGGCCACTTCCTCGGTACATGCTCACGCTCCTCAGCAGACGGCGCTTCACTGCTGCCGCCGCTGTTGCCACACGCCGCCATAGCACAACCGGGGTCCAAGCTCAAGTACAAGCAGGTACAAGCACGCTCGACGAGCACGGAACGGGCTGAGGTTGCCAAATACCGGATAGATTGGTGACTAGCAGCTATGCCCTTTGTAACAGGTAGCAGGTTGCCACCTAGTCTAGACCGGGCAGGACACCTGCCCAAGCTGGCCTGCCCGGCCGAGCAAGTAGCGTGACATCACGAAGCGAGCTTCCAAAAATGTGCACCTGGGGTTCCGTACAATATCAATATTTTGATTTAATAAATATTGAACACAATCCCGCTCGAGACAACGTAACTTATAATTAATTGGTGTGCCATAAATGCCATTACAACCAACAATCTTCATCGAGAATGTTTCAGAATTTCTCTAACGTGCACCACGCAGCAGAAAAAGGGCCAAAATTCCCGGGTTCTGCAGAGCGAGCTTTTGTTCCATGTGCTCTGAGCTGCAGTTCGTCAACATGCCCGGCCACCGATCTCCCCATTCGCGAATACAGAGACGCTATTGAGGGGGCACGAACCATGAGGAGAAGCCATCCCACGCCGAAGCAGGCTCCGCAGCAACCGCAAAAGCCAAACAGGAGGACCATGACGCCTGCCACCAGTGCTACCGTGGCAGCCGTCGGGTAGTTGGAGAACTTTTCCAGATGGTCGTTGACATCGTGCAGGTTTGGGTTGTTGAGCACAACGGCCCCCACAACGATGGCGGCTATTCCCAGCAGCTGTTGAACAGAGGAGATGTGACAAATTGTGAGGCACGTCGTGAAATCGAAGACAGGGATGTTCCAACTATGAATGCACCAGTGTACCGTTGTAAGATGCACAGGAGGCCAACGTGCGTGACCCGAGTGAAATTTAGCATTTCACGTTTTGAAAGGTGATGCTGCCGGGCGAACAAGCGAATTCAGTAACAGTAAGAGGAAAGGCACATGCATCTCAGTGCTGAGACGATGCGAAGTCAGCACTGTATTGGCACTACTGTCAGGGCTTACTCGGTGTAGTTTGTGCTGCATTGCATGTGTAAGCAAAAAAAAAAAAGAAATATGGGATCACATACAGCAGAGTGCTGACAGAGCGCCAATAGAGACGGTGCAGTCTCTGTAGCGTCGAGTTAATGCTCCAGTGTATTTATTAACAGGCTTTAAGTTGCCACTGTGTGGAAACAAGCACAATGTTCTAGATCTGTTGCCAGGTATACTGTAGATGTCTGCGTGTCAAAAGGCCATGTGCAGTGCTCAAAAAACAATTAATTTCAGAGCAGCACTTTGACATTTCCATGTTCTATGAACCAAACGTGTTACACAGCACTCATAATTTCGTGAAGTGGTAATGCTCTTTATCATTGCGCTTACTGAACCAGAGTACTGAGATGACTATTGAGATTAGCCTCATCCTAGAAATGACATCCTAAGTACGGGGTTGCCTAACTGTGCTTTGCTCCTTTATTTGTGGCTGTAATTTGAAACATATGGCATGAGAAGCTCACTGACTAGAGAAACATTCTCCAACTTAACAAAATGGGGCCGAAGTCAAACACAATTTAGGCACGCATTTCGCCGACAGTGATATATGGGCACGAAACCTCCTTCGATGTGATTTCTTTACTGACATAGGAAAACAGGGAAGAGTGACAATATACCGAGGAGTTTCAAAAGGTGAGACTTGTCGCTGTGCATCGAGTTTCTGTTTCATTATTACGGTATACCGGCTGTCCCACGTCACGACGCTTCTTCCCTTCACTGACGCCACGATTGAAGACCTAGTAAGATTTCAATAATTAACACAGTTCAAGAACAACAATAACAACAGAAATAAAAATAAAGTCTGGGCTGATGGGGTTATTTTCCGATTACTGTCTACAGACTCGCCCAGTTTTAATCCCCTAACAAAAGGATCCTTGTGGCACGCGCGTGTCTCCTTAACCGGAGGGTTCAGCGAGAAATTCGGTAACCGTCGCATACATACCGAAATGGTCACATTGACGGTGCAGAGGACGAACTTGATGACACCGAGTCCACACCCCATGTCGCCGTTCCGACGCACAGCTCACCGCACCCACTGCCCTTCAACAACTGCCGCTCCCGCTTGCTTCGTGTTGCGACCGCATGCCGGTGAAGATCACAGGCACACCCTCCTCAGGCTCCCGTGTTCGGCCAAAGCGCACCGACCAACGGGACACATACCACCAACCACGAAACGGACGGCAAACTTCCGGGAGCCGTGCTATGCTGCCCGACGGATTGCTACTGTCGCTGCTGCGTCACCAAACCCGGAAATAAAAAAAGGGTGGTTGAGAAGCGGTCCAAAAGTGCGTCGGTTTAACACATGGGTTCAAGCCTGCGAAATCTGCTCGGAGCGTCTGCTACAAACGGAGCGAGCAGATGTGCTTGAAACGCTGCGCTGGGCGCCAGCTGTGCGCTCTGAAGCTAACCATTCTTCGTTGTCAGTGGGCGACAGGGCGCCCGAATTCTCTGCTCGTACCGTCTCTTTGAAGGAATCTCTATTTCTTCCTTACTTTTTTTTTTTCTGTTGCTTTTTTTTTTTTTTTTTTTCGTCTCGAAGTAAATAGCGAAAGTGCTCGGCAAACTTTTCCTACCCGAGAGCGTTGTTGACGGGCGCAAGCTCGCTCGAACCTGGGTGCAACGTCCGGTCGCTTCGTGGGGTTTATCGGCACTTTTCTCGGAGCCTTAAAAAGATTGGGAGCAAACTACGGGCGAAGCAAAAAGGGAACTTTGCGAAGTTTTTGTCGCTTTCTTGAGTTGCTAAGCGGAAGCTGGCATCGCCGCGATAGAGTTTCCGTGAAGGAAACGAGTTTCGCGCAGGGTCTCAGCGTTCGCAGCAACCTTCACTGGTTCACTGGTTACGTTTAATTTATTCGGTTTCTTCGATACCCAACAGAGTGATTTAACTTTATTTGGTTACATATTAAAATATTGAATAACAGTGCCAAGAAACCTTGCCCTGGAAGTGTCGCGAGAGGGTTTACGAAAGTAGCGCTTGATTCAGTTAACGAACGGAGGCGGGAACTTCAAACTGAAACGTAGGGTGTGCCTTACAAAGTCGTCTAGGGCTATGTACTCCCGATCGCTTAGCACCAAGCTCTTTTCGACGAAGAAACGTTTTACAATCAATCCAGGTTTGTGGCATAGCAACCGGGGGGCCCTGGGTCCTGGGTACCAGGCGTCCCAATCACGTAGGGGGTGCCACCCCTGGCACCCCCATACGAAGGACATAAGGGCCTCGGGTGGCGGCTGGCCTAGGTACGCCATTGTAAACAACGCTTACTTTCGAAACTTGCTCGCGGAATGAGGGTGCATTTTCTGACCATCCTGTAGTATCAGCCGGTACGTAGGGTTCTTTTTCTTTATTTAGGAACAGTTTGTCGCCTCCTGGACTAACAGGACCGTGTTGATAGGGCCGCTAGGAATTTCAAACAAAATCGCCCTCACAAGAACGATCATTTTTAAGATTACATTATAAAATTGTGATTTTAATATCAAACAAAGGGTTGCGCGTACCAATAAAGGGTCATATGTGTCTTAGACAGAAGCTTCGCAGCTACTTTTTTTTTTTTTTTAAATTATGATTCCTACATGAACTGGTGCGTCGTATGCAGTCTTGTGCGTGCTACTGAAAAAGAGTAACCGATTACAATTGCAATTACTTTATTGAAAAATGTAACTGGCCGCAGAAATTAATTTATACATCAAAAAGTAATTAAAGTTACTAGAAAGTAATTTATTACTTTTCATGTTAGTTTCACGTCACAGGAAACAAAGCGCTTTCGGCAGCTGGACAGTCAAAACGGCGCTGAGCGCGTTGACATTCTGATCCTTCTGGTACCTTGGTATCTTTTTTTGTTGTTGTTTAGGGGTAAAAATAAGTGTCCAACATTGGTGCAACATAGACGAGTGACGTACGGGTAGACAGAGGAATTTTTTAATGTAAAAAACTTCAACTCGATCTTTTTAGCTGTTTCAGAAACGTATAATTGATTACTTGTAATTGATCACAGAAAGATGGGAATTGAATTACGTTACCACCGAACAAAATTAATTGAAGCGTTAAAAAGTTGCAGTAAAATGTAATTGACTACAAGGAATCAGTTACTTGTAACTCGTCACGTACAAGTCTGGTCGAATGTCTCTTCATCCTCTCTAGTTTTGGTGAACACTGGCTGTATTTCGGAGCTCAATGACGGGTGAATTTTACGTGCACATGCTGCCCGACAGCACTGATCATAATAGTTGCTCAATCATAATATTGAACTGTCCAGAGTAGTTCCTCACGTATCCCCACATGACATATGCCGACATTAAAGTTGGTGAAGGTTGCGCATAATATGGTTTTATGTTAAAATTAACAGTCGAAAAAACATCCATTTTATAAGCTTAACGAAAATAGATAATTGCTATCGATTTTTTTTAGAAACACTTAGAAATTCAGATGTACGCAAGTATACTTACGGTGGAGGTTGGGATTGATGTGGAATTTCCCTGTCGTTCTGGGAAACGTTTAATCGGTTTCGAATAAAAATGAGCCGTACTCAAACTGTACGCGACCTACCAGTATTTTTAGGTACTCTTACCACCCTAATGTGAGGACAGCCTCCTTTGTATACCACTTCTATGGTGTATACTGTACATCGCAACGCGTACAGTCGTGCACCCTCTTACCTGAAAACGTCCATTCACACGACAGCAAGTCACTTTTCCAAAGAACGGATCAGCAGTGCCTTCTACCTAAAATTCTGGAGACGAACGATGACGTCGAAACAGAATGGAGCAACATTTTATTACAATTATCTTTTGAAATGCGATGAACGGATTAATGAAATGCGGGCGCAGAAAAGAAAGAAAACGTAATGGCAGTGTCACCGCGGCGGCGGATATCTGGCTAGGCTTGGGTGGTGTTCTTGCCAGCCTTCTTTGCGCTCTTGAAGTGTTGCATGAGCATACAGGCGCCGACCATAGCGGCGATCTGAAACGGAAGTTTAGGCAAACATGATTTACACAATGAAACAGCGGCTGGGGATGAAACTGTAGTCAGGGATGGGCAATATTTAAAATACAAGTATTTGAAATACGTATTTCAAATACTTTGTGTATTTTGCATTTGTATTTAATTACAAATTGGCTAATGTATTTGACGTGTGTATTTAAATACTAAAACGTGGGTATTTCAAATACAATTGTAATTAAATAGAATTTTGTGGGCGAAAATACGCTCTCAAATTTATTGTCACTGTCCAGAGCAGGAAGAAAACTACGCTCTGCACCTAATGCAATGTCTCTCAATCAAGCACAAGCGTTTAGTGACTTTGTGATAACGGTGCTAGTCCAGGGCAAGAATAGTGATAAAATCGACGTTCACAGGCAGACTGGCTAAATAAGTGCCTGCGACAACTTGTGATGCTTTCCAGCCTGATTTCCATTCATATTTTTGCCTGGAACATTCTAAATGCGCGAAGCGTCGAGATTTTCGTAACTGGTCCGAGTTGCAACAATAACGATTTCTCTAGCTAGTGCTGCGCGTCATGGTCGTCTCGGTTCTTTGTTGGTCTATACCAAAATATAATCGCCAAAAAAAGCTGCTTGAAGCTCTGTACTTTTTTCACCTATTACGTCCAAGCTGATTACATTTCTTTTTTGTGATTATATTTCTATTACTTTATTAGAGCCTCGAACACTAACTCCCGAGTGTGCGATGCAAAATTAAAATGAGATACCCAGAAACCCGTTGCAGGTGCCCTGAAGTCGCTGACGCAAATTTTGAGGAATGTATTTGGAAAAGTATTTGGAGGAGACGAAATGCACTTGGTTGTATTTGTATCTTGTATTTAAATGCTTTTTTGGAAATGTAATTAGATTTGTAATTAAATAAATTTTGTACAAAGTATTTTGTATTTGTATTTCGATACATATTTGCATGTATTTTGCCCATCCCTGGGTGGTATTCACTGGGCGCCATACTTGAGTGCAGCGTTCACAGCGCATGCTCAGAACGATACCCCACTTATCTTCCAAAAGGACTTACAGTCTTGGTGCTGTGGACGTGTGGACTGCACGTCGCGGAAGCTCATCGTGAGCTCGCGCGCTCTGCGACAGTGGGTTCAACTAGACTCTAGGTTCAACTAGGGTCGCCAGTGAATACCACCTAAAACGTTTTCCGTTTCCACGGGAGTTTCGTATCTGGTATGCGGGACGAAAAAATATGCAAACATTTCCATCTGGAATATTTGAGAAAATATAGGTGAGGTAAAACAAAAGTGAGGGACAATAACGTATTTTTCATAAACACTTTCCAGCGGCATGGAGAGATCAACAGGATGTTTTACCGCATGCCAGAAGTGACGACATTCAAGATGGCTCCGCCCTTGTTGAAAAGGTGCATAGAGGTGGAAATGAAACTATATGCACATCAGTGCCCCATTCGCGGAGAACCGAAGAATAAAATTTGCCACGCTTTGACGAAAATCGCAATTGTTATGCATTTTACAATCCGTGTGCCGACCCGTCAAAGGCACAGGCGAATGCTTGCTTTGCACAATGACGATGATAGAAATGTTGCTTATTTACATGGAAGGGGATACTTTCCGGCTCTCTTCACTAAAGTCATCTTGTTTGCACAATACGTCTATTTCAAAGGTACGCGCCATCTGGCGGCCGCTGCGCCAATTACCGGAGTCCGCCACTGTTTGCTCATGCGCCCTGAGCGTGTATTGGCCACGAGCGCTGCGTCAGCGTTCGGCGAAGACTCGGCTCAAATCACGCGCTGCGCGTGCCCAAAAAATGGCGACCGCCGATATTACTTGATGGGGTGTCGAAAAGGGTCGACCCACTCCTTCGCGCCAAGTGAAATCAATGCAAAGCCTCGACTCTGTATCCTTGTTTTGCACATCCCTGCACACGATCTTACCAGAGGTTTCCCCAGGAATTGAAATTAGGGCGAGAGAGAAAAGTGGAAAGGGCTACCGGCGCTTTCCCCCTTTCTGATTGTGTAGAAAGAGTGAAAGTCCCGGATGAGAGGCTTCGCCGGTGTTGAATGTCTGCTGTGTCCCAACTTCGTTCGCGCTTTCTTTTTGTTTTAAACTTGCAAAGTTAATTAGAGCCACGGGCTTCGATGGCAACAGTCCCCCGGTCATCGGGACACCATTGCTGGGTCATAGGGTGCACAAATAAAAACAGAAAGCATAGAATACTGTCCGAGGGCATGAAGCTTGCAAGAAACCCGGCAAGACGAGAGCGGCTGCAATGTCTTTGAGCTCCATCGCTTTCCACATGACCCCTGTCTCCGGCGGCAGTGGATTGCGTCCGTGAACCGAAAAGGCGTCTCCTCAACGCCATCCTCTCGACTTCGCTCGGAACATTTCGTGAATGGAGCGCGCACCGAACGCTGTACCGCCGATGAACATGGGGTACGCTCGCAATGTGCGTGCGAATTTTCTCATGATAACTGCTGTTTCAGCTTGTAAAATTTCGTAACTGAATTTATCTTAATAGTGATAATTTGCAGTGCTGACTGACTCGATTTTATCATCTACAACACTTAGTTGAAGGCTCATTTCCGCCGCCGGGTGAGGCTGGAAATTGTTGAAAACGTAGTTCTATTGTTTTTTTTTTTTTTTTTTTTTTTTTTAATCGCGATCTCCTGCGCGATACCAGAGAGCCGGCAAAAGCGCTCCTTGAAGTGCCGCTGGTGGGTTGTTTCCGTTGACTAAGGCGCTTTGAGGCGCTTTATAGTCGCTGCAGGAACGTCTCGTGTGTTGCGATCTGCGTTTTCGAGCCCAGTGTGCACGTTTCTTTGTTTGAGTCATGGCATCCGCCAGTGTGGCGACGGGGGGAACAGCGGCAGCGAACGTGCTAGCGATAGAAATTGGAGGTGAGTACTCAAAATATTGCATCAAATAGTAAAATAATTCGTGGCTGCTTTGAGGTGTTCTGCTGTTCGATATAAGCAAGTCCAGAACGTCTTCGTCGTTCATCCACAATGATTATATAAGAACACGAACACGCAAGATAAAAGCAGCGCAGCAAAACGATCTGTAGTATATCTCCGGGTGTTTACAAAAGTCAATTGAGGTTCCCGTTTCGTGTATTGCTTGTTCATTACTAAAAGCGGCTACGTTGAAATGCGCCTATTGCAAGCAAAAAATTATGAATGGTTCATCATTTCCAGTCATGCGGAAATCGGTGGAGCTTCAAAACATTGCAGCCGCACTTGCCTCGCCGGATTCCATGCAAGCTACGAGGTCCTTGGGCAGTATTCGACGCTTTCTGTCGTTATTCGTGCACCCTATGACCGAGCAATGGTGTCCCGATAACCGGGGGACTGTTGCCATCGAAGCCCGTGGCTCTAATTAGGTTTGGAAGTTTGAAACGTAGAAGAAAGCGCGAACGAAGTTGGGGCACTGCAGACGCCCAACACCGGCCAAGCCTCTCATCCGGGACTTTCACTCTTTCTACACAATCAGAAAGGGGGAAAGCGCCGGTAGCCCTTTCCCTTTTCTCTCTCGCTCTAAAAAAAGGGGGGGGGGGTGTTAGGGGGTATTGAGAATAGAAAAGGGGGTGTACCCCCCCCCCCCCCCCCCCCCCCCCATTCAGCAGGTGTCTAGGGAAATCACTGCATGTTACTATCGTACTTAGGTTCGTAAAGTTAACACGTCCGTCGTTTTTGTCTCTCTTCCTGCTTTGACCGAAGTAAAAAGCGTTTCTAGAGAGCAGAAGTGAAAAATGAAAAAGAAAAAGTACGCGGGTGATTTTTGCAGCAATAACAGCAGCATTGCACTGTTTTAAAGGGTGGTTTAAATTAGCCTCAACTGAAACGCTTCAAAACTTCGGAACCTGGCTTGTTTGTTGTAAAACAACTTTGCCACTTTACCAGGATGGAATTATTTATCTGTGCCTCCGCGTCGTTCTGCAAGAGCTGGGATGTGGCAAACTTAATTATCGTAGTCCTATCCAGTTCCGAGTGGGATACGCGGAAAAATAGAGGAATATTATTCCCTACATGTATAATTGCAACTTCTCTTACATAGTGCACAGATATAATAGAAAGTTATCTTAATTATTACATTAGCATAATTGCAAGTTCGCTTACTTAGTTCAGAAACACAGTTGCAAGCCCTTTTATTTAGTACACAAGCGTAATTGCATGTTCTATTACTGACACAAGTGTAACTGCGGGTTATCGTGTACACGAACATAAGTGCAAGTTCTCTTACTTAGTACAGAAGAATAACTGCATGTTTTCTTGGTACACACATAATTGCAAGTTCCCTTACCTAACACACATGCATAAAAATAATTGTAAATTTTTTTAGTGCAGAAGCATAATTACAAGTTTTTTTTACATAATTACAAGTTTTCTTACATAATTACAAGTTTTCTTACTTCTTAATTGCAAGTTCAATTAGTACACAAGATTAATTGCAAGTCTTATGCACAGACGCATAATTGCAAGTTCTCTTACTTAGCATCACGGTGGAAGAAACACAAATGTTTTGCTTCCACCGTGCTTAGCATACAAGCATAACTGTAACTTCTCTGTTTGTAAGGGGTTCCCTTGGACTGGTATACACGTTTGCAAGCAGTCACGTTTCAAAAACTAATCTTGTCACCGTGAATAATTTTTTTTTGGACATCCATCTGACAACCGTGGGCACACCTTGGCAAGGCTTCGCTATCAAACGATCTACGCCAGCAGCAAGATGCCGGCGCCCAGGGATGTTGCAGGTTAAAAAAGGTAGGGCGAGGAAAAGGAAGGTGGGAGAGGAGGAAGTGGACGCAACGCAGGCGCGGGGGGGGCGGTTTCCTCCTCCCCTCGCAAGCGTTGCGTCCATCTCTTCTTCTCCCACCTTCCTTTCCCTCGCCCTACCTTCTTGAGTTGTCATCGACTATATAGACCTTTTCTTTAACGGCGCCGCCATCTTGAGAATTGCGGCGCCGACGACGCCGTCTAGCGGCTAAGAAAAAGAAATACCGGCTAGTTCTGGCAGCACAGCTATCTGGGTAGGCAACGGTGTGGGTATGAAGGGAACTTGGCTAGACTTGGCTATGGTGGGCTGCAATAACTTGGTTGGAGCTTGTGCGGTTGAATCTAGAGCACTATATTAGCCCCGAGAAGTTCGCGTGGCGCCCCCTTACGGTGAACCGGGGTGACGTCACGGCGAGGAGAGAATTTTTCCCCGACTCGCCCCGCTCGCCCTGTGGAGGCTGTGACAACGCTAGCTGTCGGCGCGCTCGTTTCTATTTAATTTTTTTCGGCGTGTTTTTCGTAGGAAGTGTAAATTTTTATATATGCCTTTATTGAAGTATGGCCTGTAGCTACAGGCGAAACTTCAACGAACATTTTAAGCATGGCTGACAGGCCAGGCAACGCATGAACCACAGCTGGTATGTGAAAATAAAGGAATATGGCCACAATTGCAGGGGCATCACTACAGATTTACATCTCGCACAATGAACGCTGCTGATGGTCCGAATGAGGCAAATTATGTAGACTATTTTTTTTTTGTATCTCTGTCTTTAAACAAGATCGCCGAAGCAGAAAAGCTGCATGCTGCTCGAGCAATGTGCTAAATACAGTCTCGGCCATGGGGAGAGAATCACAAGTAAGACAGCCCAAGTGCAGGGGCAAAGTAAAAAAACAAACAAGGAACATTTATTATATACATTGCTCGCACTTGACCTTTGCTGGATTCGGATAGTATTTCAATGGACTACACGGGTGGTATCTGTGGACTTGTTTATATCAATCCTCAAGTAATATATAACAAACGTAAGTTAAGGTGTCTAGCTCGTTATTAGACCATTAAGCCCTAAAATTGAGATTTTACTTAAATCGAATTTGCCTGAAGCTAAAGTACCAGAAGCTTTTTTCACGCACTGACTGTCGCCCTTCACAGGTTCCACATTTTCTGCTACCAGTGCTGCATCTACCACTGGACAGACGTTCGAATGCTTGCTTTTACTCCTGTATTCCTCTGTTGTCAGAGAGTCCAGTTGCAGGGAGTTTGGAGGCTGAGGAAGCTTTTGAGGACCTGCGGCAGTGACTCTTAAATGGAAATGACAATTCAGACTAAACGGTGTATTTACCGAATACCAAAGGCTGGAATAAAGAATGTCAGGAAAAAGTATAAACATTCCAAATTACGGCACTATTGCTGTGCATATTTTGGGCAGTTTACTACATATCATAGAAGCAACTGGGGGAAATTCGGCCGTTTTTGCTGCTACCATACAAGGTAATTTCCGGTAATAGTGAATCCTCTAAGAAATATGCCTGCATACGCGTATAAACTATATAATTAATTCAAGAAGAAGCTACATTTATGTAAAACAACCCTGTTCCATGAGCACTTCAAAGATCATCAGACGCAGGGCCTTTAAAACATCTGCGAACCAGCGCATGCAGAGTGCCAGCGCAGAGTCGGGGTCGCGAGCTAATTTGCCGACCACCGAAAGGCCCATGATATAGAGGCCGCTTCAGATGCCTTGAAAGCGGGATGTAATATCGTCCTAAATCATGAACTTGCAAGGAACAGAATTCCAGCGTCTGAAACACTTGCGTCACCGCTTCACCGACCCCTCTCAAGATTGCCTTGCGTCGTGTGGACGGACGGGGAGGTTCATCGGCGTAATTGCCTCCGCCGATAGTTTTCGGGATTTGTAACCCAATTTTAAAGGTAAAAGGGACAAGCAGGCTTCTAAAATATACTGAAGCACGTTAATATCGGCCTAACTCAACGTCTTGTACACCGGGTAAACGAAGTCCGGCTCCTCGAAGAGCTTGCGGCACACAACGCCAAACCAGGGAACCGGTGCTGGGAAGCGACCCGATGCGAGATCGCGGAGCGGGGTACTCGCCCTGACGTCACGGTACACCTCACCCAATCAGGGCGCGGCGACCGCAGCGACGCTTGTGTTCGCTCTCGGGGCTAATAGCTCCTTCGGAGCAGAGTAGCGCAATCTAGAACGCCGCCTCTCGGCGACTAGCGGCGAACGCCCGGAGGTTCCAACTGCGGTCAGAAATGCATGGAGAACGTGAGACAATCGCTGTTCCTTCAGTATTGTGGGGGTGTACGGAGTGGCAATTGTTTTTAACATAATAATGGAACATTTTAGAATAATTTGCGCTAAGTTTTGTGCCCCGCAAGGACCTGACTTGTTTTAAAAAATTGCTTGAGCGGCATCATGCAGCAGACGACACGGCGACGTCACACCATTCACGTGACCCGCTCCGGCCAACCCGAAAAGCCCACCTCCGCTGCGAGCAAAAATCGTCTGCTTCAAACGCCATTACCTTGGAAATTGCCTTCTTAAAATTTGCACACGCATCCGATATTATTAAAACTTTTATAAAGTGTTTAGTGCTTTACTAACTTCACGGCAGACTAGTTTTGAAAAGTGTGAACTCGCCGTTCATTTTTTAATCAGCCGTGTTGTATCGATCTCCATGTATTCTCCCATAGGGCGGGCCGCCTCCTGGAACCCTGAGTACCACGTGACTCGCGCCGAGCCGCTCCGTCGGCCATGTTGTCGGCAAAACACGGGGTTCAAAGGATTGCGCTACTCTGCTCCGTAGGAGCTATATAGTGCTCTAGTTGAATCCAGCTGGCTACTCTTGCCTCCTCTAGAGAACGAGGACGAAGACGGTGGGGTGTTTTGATTGAGTTTCCACAGCGAAGTATATATGAGCAGTTTAATGTAGTCTATGCAGGTAAGCTCTCGGCATTTGATAGCTCCATCTTGAGTGGTGGCATGTAGACTTTTTCATACCTTTCAGATACCATGGGGCTTGCAGTGATAACCTAATTGGACCACCTGCGCCGGGAATTAAAATCGGTCCTCTTGTCGTAGACGAAGTGGTCGTGAGCTTAAACGTGACACTGAGTCTGATACGAATCTCTCGCGATTCAAGCTCGCAATCGATTAACTTCATAAATAAGGATTTTTGGGGAAAATGCGAAGCTCGATAACATTGCAGCCACACTCGCGCAGCAGCTTCTTGTGCTCATGGCACACTTTCTGTTATTGTTCTTATGCTTTTTAAAATTATTGATCCATGCGATGACCACGCGGTGGTAGCCAGACAACCGTAGATTTTCGGAAATTGCACCACGGTAAAAAGGAGCACTCGGAACTAACTCATGCACGACGTCCGTTTTTAAGCCTTTTCGCCCATACCCTTGGCGGTTGCGTACCCTGTGTCAGCGGGCAATCTAAAAATGTACCAGGTCGAGGGTACGTCAGTAACTGGCTGGTTTGAGGTTATGAGAAAAAGGTCTCTGGGGCCACATATCGGCCAGCGGGAACAGTGTTGTAACGCACCTCAGCGAAAACGCCGAATAAGTTGACGAGGCCAATGCTGAGCCCGTTCTTCCGGACGTACTCCTTGAGCGCTGCGACGCAGCCCTGCGTTGTCAACAATAATTACAATCAGCTAGAGCGCCGTCTGAGTGCTGTGCATGCATGGCTTGCACCCTTGACGTCATTGCACCACACTGGGGGTCATTCCGACCTGTTCTTGTTGAGGAGAAAAAAACGCGGTGCGAGACGTATGCTGCAGATATAAGGTACGCGCGCAGCAGCAAGACCACACCCTAATGGAGGCTGCTGTGACCTTTAAACCATAAGAGACATAGATGGTCAGCAACTGTTGGTAACTGTTGGTGTGACGTCGTAGCGCGCGCGACCAATGGTGTTGTGCCACGCGGGGTTGGGGAGGGGGGTAAGCGGTGCTCTAACACTGTGTAGCTGGGTAGTAACTGCGTATTAGTGCTATTGCATCTTCATTAAAGTGACCGAATGTCTAAGCTAGGCGATCTTTTTCTTGGCAAGAACAAGTATGACCATCAACATGATTCGATGGCGACAGGTGCAAGCCATGTATAGGATTATACAGAAGTGAACACTCAAATATGGAGGCCTATGTACCCGCTGGTAGATGTACGTTCTTTGCGTGTCGTAGTTGTCGTAGCAACTCGGTGGTATGGGCAGGTGTCGTTCAGCGTAGTCCTCGGGTCCTTTGCCTCCACAGCAGCGCAGCTGTGGGGATACCAGAGCAGGGCGGTTAGAGGATGCCTCAAGCTTCGGCGGGTTCTGTGCCACCAAAACACTTTTGGTGGAACGGCCTGCACTGCCGGAGGAAACGCCAAGTTGAAATCGACCCTGCAGCTTGTTCCCAATAATGCTGAAACTGATGTATCACATTCTTTATTTTAGACAAAAGACATCCGAGGAGCTAGATAAAAAGAAGACAGGGTTGTCTTCTGATGATGTCCTAGGCTCCTAGCACCTGGTTACAACACTCACCAGGTGGGTAACGTATACTATGGTTTATACTTTATACAAAGTGTCTAATATAAAAGAAAAATATTTACGATGTTGCTCACCGAAATAATAAATCTACGCGGCACCGAGTGTTTCGTCTCCGCTCAAAGGTAGCGCTAGCGGACCGAACCACATGGCGAAATTTTAGAACTATCCGTTGTCTATATTCAAAGGTGATAAGGGATTTCTTAAAGCTTTCAGGTGAGAACGCATGGAGACTCTTCCCTGCGCTCACGTCGTTCATCTCCGTCGACCACCATTTTCCCATTGAATATTTTCGAAAATCGCTTATAACTTTTGCATAAGATAACAATAGGCTCTGAAACCTGGGCATCTGGACCGAACCGCTGGTGCTACGTTTTGGCGGAGACTGAGCGTTAGGCGATTCGTATTTTACTTCTCCGGTAAAAAAAAAAAAAGTGTAAATGTATTTCTTCTTTTTTTTTTTTTCGGGGAGCCCCTGTAGTACTACGTGGTGCTACCCTTGAAACCCTGAGTGAGGGAAGGAATTGATATGGGTGCATGGGGAGCATCTCGTGCAAATATGTGGAAAGACGGGACCTATACCTGGCCTTGCACGAAGTAGATGACGTTCAAGTCCTCTTCCTGCTTCCATGGCTCCTTTTCCCTGCGTCCTCCGGAAATGACGTCTACGAAGTGGTCGTTCAGCGATTGTTCCATCTGCGAGGAGAAGAGCGGCTCTTCCAAGTTCACTTCTTTTTTCATTGGCAACCAATTGGAAACATGAGCGGCTATAGGAAATGGGAAGCGGGTTAAAAACTAAAACTTGATCATCTTTTTTGGTTTTAATCATATGACGTCATTACGACGTCATACTGGTCACGAATTTTCTGCGGCCTCTATGGTACCGGAGGTTTCTATTGGTTGCAGGTTTTGTTTTACCATTTTAAATGTAGTAGCATTTCTTTAAAGGGGAGGGGTTACTGCGGCCATTTTTTTAGCTTATTTTCTGAATCCCCGGTTTTTCCTTTTACCGGCGTGCTATTTAGTATCGCGAAATTCAAAATATTTATTGTAAAATCGTCAAAAAAAAAAAAAAAGAAAAAAAAATTCCAAAACCATTATTCAAATATATCCGCGCCTTTCAGTACCGCGACGTCAGTGGCAGGCGGGCTTGCAGGTCGAGCGAGCAGTCTAAAAAATGGACTATGCCAAGCATTTGTTTCGTGGTGCTGCGCGAGTGCTTGAGCGAGCTTCTAAAGCATTCATTTGACACCATGAAACTGCATGCTTGTAATAAGCTGGGGAAAAATTCTACAGTCCAAAAAGGGAACCCCTGCATGGTGCTGGCGTTCATTGTTGCCAGTAGAGACTCACATTGAAAACCGTGATGAGGACCAAAATTGTAAATTCAATAACTTCTCGAAAAAAAAAAAAGAAAAATTCTGGTCTAATATTTGGGCTGCTATGTCAGCAATGATTTTTGGTATGTTTAGCCCTTCCTGGAAAATTCCGGTCGTCCCATTGAAACCAGTACAGATGAGCATGGGAGTGAGGTAGATGTGCTGTTCTCTCCTCCTCATCGCGCACATGCGCGGGTGGCGGGGGGTGAAGTACATGTGCTGTTCTCCTCTCCTTATTTTGCGCATACGTGGCTCTGCGAAACGAGGCACTCACTGGATGTGCCGCAGTCTTCATTGCCTCGCAGGAGGAAGGAGCGCACTGAACAGAAGCGGCGACATTCTGAGTCTGACCGTACTCGACGTGCCACAAAGACGACGATGAAGAGAGCGAAGTTTGCCAAGGCATAGGCAAGCAAAAGGTCTTAAAGAAGACAAGCAATGCTATCGCATTTCGACGTAATCTGCAGCGAAGCACCGCAAAAACACGGTCTCGTTTTTTCTTTTTTGTATTCTGCAACTTTTGGAGATTCTACAGCCTCCTCCTAGCCACGGCCGGACTGGAGTCTGGAAGCGCGCGCTCTCTTTCTCTTCTTACGGCCTTTGCAATAGACTACTTCCATAAAGCCCTGCATGCAACACGGCGCGCGTTGCACTCTGGGAACTAGTTGGCCAGGGAGGAGAGTGGTGTGGTTTCGGTTTCGATCAACATGTTGACTAGAGGTCACAGACAGAGCGTGGATTATTAACGGCCGTTATCTCATGCTTTCTGGTCTCGAGAGCGTCATTTGTGGTCTCTAAACTAACCTAAATGGCCAGACCTCGAAGCTTTAGCACAAGCCCGAGACGTATAGCATGTTTTAATGGATGCTTGTTGCATTTTTGTGCTTGAGCCTTTCTGTTAGCGTTTTGAGGTATGTGGACGAGCCAATGCTGGGAATTTCGGCGCTGCGGAGCTCGGGAATCTTGCTTATGTGCAAATCAGCAAGCTGTAGCAACCAATAAGTATGCATACATCGAGCTCGAGCCTTTACATTAGTAATGTTGATCAGGAAGTTTGTTTCGTGCGTCCATAGGTACGCGAGGTAAAACTCGGAGGCGCTATTGAAAAGCTCCATTTGAACACACTTCTCATCTCTTATTTGTACTGCTCCGGAGCACTGCACGAAGTGAAGTTTCCACCTGCTTGCATTCCACTAATATTCAACATCGCGTATGCGCATAAGTTATCCTGCAATCATATAGGCACCATTAGCATATACAAACCGTTTTAAGAAAGCAAAAGTCGAGCACTTGTGTGAAGAATGTCGCACCCTTCGCCGAAAGTGCGCCGGACGGGCACGAACTTTTATGCGGCCAAACGAACGAAATTATTCAAAGCGCATTTGACGGTTGCTAATGGCTATAATATTTGCTATATGTTTGCTTTCTTCCTGTCTGAGTATGCCGAGATAATTTCAGATACACCGTTCAGGCACAGATCTTGGGCGACAGGGAAAGCTCGTCCAAAAAAGGCTTATCGAGGAGTAGGGGACGCTTGTTAGGGCCTCCGTCGTAGCAAGCCGATCTCAGTGTTTGCGCAAACTTAATCTTCTATCAGCATAAAATTTGAGTGTGAGATATGTGATGACACGAGGAAGACATCATAGTAACTTTTGTGCAGCAGTGAGGTAGAATTTATTGCGTTTCCTTAAAAGTTCATGCGCCAACGCTGGGCTCAACTGTGATAATCCTGTGAAGATGCGGCTTGCTTTTCGCTTAATGAAGTAACAAGAGGCGGACGTTTGGCAAGCAAAATACGTGTAGGGCTCAAGGTGACCAAATTTCAGTTGTAGTTCACTGGTACTAGACAGGATTACTGACATTGAGCTCAAAGATGCACTCGTGGGGTGAGGTGACTAAGCCACGTCTTACTACGTTTGCATACGCACGCACAATATCCAGTGTTTAGGGAACCAAGGAAAGTGCCCCGGTCTTCGTTTTCCATCGCTCGAGAATGAGTGTATAGTGCATTCGTAAAAAGTCAGATAATCGAAAACGCAATGAGCGCGTTCGGTCGCGGCGTGATAACACGAGATGAACCTGCTCACTCGAAACCGAAACTAAGTGGCCTACTAGTTCCCAGCGTGCATTGCGTGGTATTTCGCCGCATTGGGGCACGTCGGTTTTGGAAGAAGTCCATTGGGGCAATCGCCACCTCCCGCCGCAATTCGCGGCGGGCGCTGTCACCTCACTCCTGGGCTACCCTTTGTCGTTTGCACAAAGCGCGTCTGACAGTGTATCTCAACACTGTCGCAACTTGCGGCCAAGATTTTTATAGACTTTGACACCTGATCCTTACGTTTAGACCCTCAGCCACTATCTAATGCGCTTCTGATAAGCCCAAAACGGTGAATACTTGACGCACATCTGCGAGAGATTCGGGAGTAAAAAGTAGTAAGTAGAAACAGTCAATGAGGTTGCGGAAAAACTATACTCGTTTTTACCTCCACGACTTCTGTTGCAACTCAAGAACAGGAGGAGATGTACTCCTTTTAAGTGGAGGAACTTTAAATGATAAATAATTCGTACACTCTCGTGAAATGTAAGCAGGCCCAATCTACCTATTGCCGTGGTCTGCATCATCATTTCATAGGCCGCTCATGAAGTCGTTTAGTTGCTCTAGACGAGGATGTAGTAGTCTGTACAATTTTCGCACAGTGCATATTACAGCCTAAAATGCTTCCTTGAGGGCTTGTGCACATATCCAGCTGATTTTTCGTTTTTGTCCGTCACCGTCTTTGCATGGTTAATCAGAAGTATACCGAGGAACCGTTGCCAAAACAACAACCTACGAAGCTCGAACACCAGCGCAAAGCAGCTCGAAGGGACTCTCCGAGTGGGGTGAAGTGGGGTGAGGTGGTTGCGCCCCTGGCGGCAAGCAAATGAACTACATACGGAGAAAAAATGCCATTGACTACCGGGCGATTGCAAAGGCCGTAAGAAGAGAAGAGAGCGCGCGCTTCAGTCCGGCCGTGTTCTAGCTTAGCTTATCTACCTACACAGTGCTCTACAAAAGGAATTATTCACTGACAAGAGCTAATACATTCTTTTTAGAGCGCAGCTCTTAGGGGCCCCTTCCCGGCTTGAGCGGCGTCGGCGTAACCAAGGTCACCACAAGGTCACGCGACCCCCAAGGTCACGTGACCCCCAAGGCCACCACAAGGTCACGTGACCCCCAGAGGTCACGCAACCCCTCCCCCAGGGTCACGTGACCCCCCGAAGTCACGTGACACCTCCCCGAGGTCACGTGACCACCCCAGGGTCACGTGACCTCCCCGATGACGTCATCGTCACTGATGACGTCACCGGCATCCGCATCGTCATCATCACTGATGATGTAATTAGTGACGTCACTGATGACCTCACCGGCATCCGCATCGTCATCACTGATGACGTCATCAGTGACGTCACTGATGACGTCACCGGCATCCGCATCGTCATCGTCATCATCACGGATGACGTCATGAGAGTGACGTCACTGATGACGTCACCGACATCCTGATCGTCATCGTCGCTGATGACGTCATCGGAGTCCGCATCGTCATCGTCACTGATGACGTCGTCAGTGACGTCACTGATGACATCATCGGCATCGTCACGTGACCCCCCCCAGGTCACTTCACCCCCCCCCCCCCCCCCAGTACACTTCCCCCTTCCTCCTCAAGAGCTGCGCTCTAATTCGGTGTTACAGGAAGTTGTAAACGGCTTTCACTTTTTTTATCAGATACCGATGTGTCTTCAATGGCACAGTGCGATCGTCACGCACACATGACTGTTGTTCGGGGGAGAACGAGAGAACGAGTCAGATTTTATCCTCCTTAATTTAACTTATTTTCTTGCAAAAAGAAAAAAAAATGAAAAGAAAAGAAAACGAATTAGCAAGTGCAAACAAGTAATGATATCAACTCCCTACTTTATTAAAGTGAACAATTCGTTAAAGTAAACAAGTTTCGTGGATCCATTTTAAACATCTGGAGGCTGTTCCAGAGTAGCAACAACATTTCAACAGGCTCTTCTGTTCAGAGAGAGAGAGAAAAAAAAAGATAGAGGAGGAGACCTTTCCTTCTCCGTGTGTATACCTGGACCTTGCCAACATCTTCCAGACACACAGTCGTAGTGCTGAGTTTCATACGTCACCAATTGAGGGCCAGCGCGGGCACATGCTGAACTCGAGTGCTGCGTCAGAGCTCGGCTGGAACTCAAGTTCAATTAGTCAGCATTGGAGCACCAGCTGAAAACTGTTCGTGTTCAATATGTGACTCGCACTTGGCCTCGATGAGTAGGTGATGTAAAGAAATCAGCACTACGGTATTCTATCTAGGCAGTGTTGACCTTGTGCGCTTTCCACAATTGTGCTGTCCGGCGTCTCTTACCGACAAACTGCTCACGAAAGAGAAGGCGAGGGCGATGGCGACGATCTCGAAGACGAGGATCACCAGCAGGACCCCGAAGTACTGCGTAAAAACAGGCATTGGCGGTGTTTGTTTAGCTGGGCGAAATAAATCACTCTTTTCTATGCAAGAAAACGCCGGATCTGTACTTTGCACAAGAAGAGCGCGACGTTCTGATACGTATACGTATCAGAACGTCGCGTTTCGGGGACGTTTTAAACGTTTCTAATAAACAATTTAACCCCCCCTCCCCTCTTACATCTCCCGAACACTTTTTACGCCACTTTGCAGTTTGACTTTCAAGTCATTAGATCGCAATGTTACACCCATCTCCCCTCACAGTGCGACGCGATATAATTTTAAAGATCGCTCTTCTGAGTTAAGAACAGAGCGGGCGAAAAAATGATCCCAACACTTCTAATTCTAAAAAAAAAACTAATTGTATATTTCGAACAGCCAACTGGCACTGCATGCACTGTAGGTGTCCAAGTGGTATATATATATATATATAGAGTGTTGGAAATACCCAGGCTCGATCTAAAATGGGCCGTAAAAATTGGCGCCTGCACTAGCAGCCTAAACTTTTCGTGAAAGGTGTATTTCATAGGGCGGTTTTATCTTGTAAAATTACATAGCGTAGCTCTCTTTCCGTAAAAAATAGGGCCAAAAAACTTGCCAGGGTCAACGGCGGACGGCGACGCAGACGACTGAGTGGTGTGGCGGGGCGCGTTTGGGGCACGTATTGATAGATGGCGCCACCTCTTTATCGAGACTACTCGCGACGACCATGGTCTGTTAAAACGAACGTAATATTTTTGTAATGTAACTCTGGTTTAAAAATGAACGCGGACAATGATAGCAAAACTTGAAGTAACAAAAATAAAAGAAAACGTGGTTGCATGCATAACGACGGCGCCAACGGATTTAGTCTGCGTGTCGTCTGCTTTCTTTCGCTGATCGACTACACCTTCCGACGTAGGGTGCTTATTCCGACTCTGCTCCCGACGCCACCTATCAATACATGCGCCGAAAGCGCCGCGCCATTCGACTCGGTCGTCTGCGTCACCATTTGCCGTTGACACTGGAAAGTTTTTTGGCCCTATTTTTTACAGAGAGGGAGCTACGTTTTGTAATTTTTGCATGATAAAACCGGCCTATAAAATACACATTTGACGAAAAATTTAGATTGCTACGTACAGGCGCCAATTTTCGCGGTCCCTTTTGGATCGAGCCTAGGTATTTTAGACACCCTATGTATAGTCTTTGGAGTTTAACTGACATGATCAGTATAGCCATGATGACAGCTCCGACATCATCGTGTGGCCCTCAAGGCATTGCCATACTGCTTATAGGAGCACGACACAGCTTCTTTCTAAAACCGATAAGAACTCACACTTTATGCTTTTTCTGCTTGGTATACATTGAGAGTCGGATTGCTTAATTTTGTCAATTTGTGAGCATGGACACTCGACCCATAGCCACATTTTACAGAGTAGACGTGCACGAGGCTCATGTCCACGCAGTTAGTTGTAGAAATCCAGGCCAACGAATACCAGTTCTTCGGACCTGCGGACTTCGAGGTTCATGTCCACGTAGTCAAGTCTATAGACCAACACAATGTTTACAAACAAGCCCGGGTTTGCCCACACCGAATGCGGGCACTGTTCATGCGCAGAAACCAGATTCACCCGAGGCGAAGCATCTGCGCATGCGCACTGTCGACAGCAGCGCCACCGCAGTGACGTGACGTCAGAGACTTGAGTTGCGAGTCCCGTGCATCGCATTATCGCTCCGCAACCAATCAGATTGCAGCATTAGCCGACAAAGAAGCCGAAGAACCAATCACGAAGCAAGGAGCGTGAACTTAATAAGTCGCGCCCTATGCGGAGCGCAAGTTCGTCTGCTTCTTTTGCAGGGGTTGTGGTGACGTCAGAATGCCGAGCTGTGATTGGCTCTGATTGAATGATAGTGGGTATAGACCTCAAAGGAAGCTGCCTTGAGGTCTAACCACTATCCTTCAATCGGAACCAATCAGAGCTCGGTGATCTAGCCATGAGTTAACTTGTAAGTCAGACTGACTAATGACCACGAAACGAAGCGGTATATAACGGCTTCCAGTCAAACAACACCCGAATATGTATAGCCAAAAAAAGCTGACGTCACCACAAGCCCCTCAAAAGAAGCAGACGAACTCGCACTTCGCGTAGGTTTCTTAAACCGTCCGTGACCATTGCCCATGTGACACGCAGACCTTTTTCTGGCTATACATATTCGGGTGTTGTTTGACTGGAAGCCGTTATATACCGCTTCGTTTCATGGTCAGTCTGACTTACAAGTTTACTCATGGTTCTAAATGTCTCAAAAAGGACGACGCGATGTAGAACCCCCCTTCCCTAACGCGGGAAAGTTCCATTCGAACCCGAAATAAATTGATTGATCGCCGAAAGGCAGCCGCGAGAAGCGACGACCCCTCCGCGGGTCTCAAAATGGCTTTTGTCTGAGCCCAGAGATAGGGGGGAACGACCTCCGGCTGCCGCAGGTGACCGACACTATCAGACGACGAGGAGCGTCGGGCCCAAGAAAGGGCGCGATCTGCGATGCGTCACGATTATAAGCTCAGGGGGCTCTAGAAATATCCCGAAGCGCAGCGAAACCAAGGTACTTTTATATAGCAACCGTGTCTGCTCGCTAGATGCCATTTAGAAAAGGGTCTTCTGCGTGCTGCCATCGTTGTGCATTTGGAAACTGCTTTGCTCGCTTTCCGAAGCGACGAACGTGCGCATGCTGGATTCTGATCATCGCATGCTGAACCGTAATTTTGTATCCATTAAAATGGTGAACAGCACCTTGGCAAAGGACGAAATATGCGGCTCCGGTGAGCCACTCGGGCGTGGGAGAGACCCAGGTATAGCGCAAAACGCTCAGGCGACGTCGATAAAAAAGTGCCGGACGTCCGCGACGTCCCATGGGACTTCACTCAGGTTGGTTCGACGTCGAAATAATGACTATATATGACGTTTTATTACAGTTCACATAAATGTATACGGTATGCGTTGTCACGTGCCTCATACATACACCTGGAGAGATATCACGTCATCGCTCTACTTTGCTCACGGGGCAGTGGTTTTCACCGTCTGTCAAGTGACTACAAAGGGAACGCAGAGAAGATTGCTGCAGGACCCAGAATCTCGAACTAGCATCACAGAAGAAGGAATATTTTGATATATTTAAAAATAAAAAGTAGGAATCACGTTCAAGGTATTATATACAAAAAAACATCGGCATTTTAATACGAAGCTATTTAAAAATAATAACTTTAAATACACGCCGTTTAGAAGCTCATCGACGAATCAATTTCGAAATAAAGAACTTATACTAATTTGGATACGCAAATAGGAAAGTGCAATAAATGACTCTTGCGGACGGTCGCTTTATTTGGAGAAACACCACCGCAGGAGAATCTTCTCACTACATTACTGACCTTTTTTTGCAACATTTGCACGAAGCGCGTTCCTGAGACGCACCACTCCAATGATCGCGTTCTGCGCGCCGCCATATTTGTCTACTGGACTGTGGGAAGACTTTTGAGCATGCGGAGTTGTTCTGCGAAATGAGGTGACATCTGATGCCGCGCATGCGTCAAGGGCCCAGTGATCCACCACTCGTATTTCGCCTGGGTAACAAGCGCTGGAAAAGTGCGTCCAGCCGTTCCATCGCTTATCACTAGGGATCCATGTTTTCGGTATTTATGTTTCTTCAAATTCGGAAGTTATTAGTCGGTGTTTATTTTTTCTTTTTGAATCGGTGTTTTTCGGTGTCTAATTTCAATGGCGGAGAGATCAGTGTTTGTCGAATTTGTGCTGTATGTATAAGGCTGGAGAAAATATTATAATTTATAACTTCATAAATTATAATATTTTCTCCAGTAATGCTGGTAAAGATAAGAGAAGAGAACGGAACAAGAAAGGGTTTCAAAGGAACAACCGCAAGGTCAATTCACTGCAGTTGTGTTCCGAGCCAATGATATAAAAAGAAATAATAGCAGAATATATATTAATATATATGTATATTTTTTTTTCTGAAGCGTGCGTGTTTTTTTTTTTGTTTAACGAGAGCTTAAATGTAGGTTTTTCGGTTTTCACCGGCTCAGAGAAAGGCGCCTCGGGGTTAGTTTTCGGTGTTTATCGGTATATACGGAAAACACGAAACCCTATCTTATTATCCAGGGCGAAAAATGGCGAACCACTGGTCTGCAGTGGACTGTGCGCATCGTCTGATATACTGCAAGAGACTGCGCACGCTTAGTAGGCCTTGTACGACCCAGTAGACAAAGATGGCGGAGCGCAGAAGGTGATCATTTTTCTTAAAATAGTAATTACAGTTTTGTACGACTAAGTTCTGATGGGATCAGTCGTCCCCATTTCTGAAATGCCGACTCACCGCCGCGAGCAGCAGGTAGGACTCCTTGATGGCTCCGCAACAGCCTAGGAAGCCGACGATCAGGAGCAGGCATCCGAGAAACATGGCCGTGCCGGCCGCTTGCTGCACGCTCTGAACGCCCGTGAGGGAAGCATCGCTCGTCTTGCCGCTGGCCAGTGTGACTCCAGCCACGACGACGACCGCCAGCCCCAGGAGCTGAGAAAAGAAGAGCACAGATTGTTCACTTTGAAGTTTAACTAGGATTGAGAGTTATATCCACTGATTTCCCTACAACCCCATAGAGGGGGGGGGGGGGGGGGGGGTGTACTCCCCCCTTGTTTTTCTGAAAGCACCCCCTTAACGCGCAACGACTCCTCTATTCTCAATGCCCCCCCTCCCCCTCCCTAATGAACCCCCCCCCCCCTAAAAATTTAGACCCCCCCTTAATTTGGATTCCTGGAGAAACCCCTGGTTAGATCTTTCCGATAACACAATTATGAAATTGCAGTAAACCGATCCGATACTTCCGATAACTGTAACGATACGATGCACGCGCAAGGGCGTCGGCGGAGTTTTGGATATGGTTATTGGAGTTATCGGAACTGTCTACTAAATCCCAGCGTTGAGTAAAGTACGTCTAAAAAGTACTTGAAAGTAGAAAGTAAATGAGAGGTTATGTACTTCAAGTAAAGTAGTAAGTACACCGGGCGCAATGTATTTGAAGTAAAATACTATAAACATAATGTACTCTTAAAGTAAAGTACAAGTACTTTTGAACGCAATCTTGCCATGATGCCCTTTTACTCTCCCTATACAATTTTTTAAATTTTTTTTTGTTGGTGTGCATTGTTTTAGGGGTAATCGAGGGTGCATCAGTTATTTTCGGAAATGGTAGCGAATATTGGATAAATTCAAGTGGCCACAAAGTAGTGTTTTTACTCTCGCTGACGAACTATCTACATAATCAACTTAAAAGTCAATTATTTGTATCGGTCTTACAACCTCCATTACTTCACTCAGAGAAATGACCAGATAACGTCTGGTAAGACGATAGCTCATTTTCAGATAACGGTACGCTATATATATTTTTTTAATTTGTGAACTTTTATTTTAGACCTTAGAGGTTGTTTATAGCACTGGGAAAGCCAAGGACGCGAGCGCGTGATCCATGAAGGAGTTTAATTTCCCCGAGCGTGTGATCAAGGCGCTCGTCCTCTTTCGTGAACTCGTCGAGTCTTTCCCATCCTCCCCCTTCTCCCTCAGACTTCAGAATTGACGCCGTTTGCACTGGCTTGCACCCAAGGGAGTTGCAAAGTTGGCGATGCGTCGTCTGCTCGTGTTTCTGGTGATAGTAGAGTATCCCTCCCAGTATTTCTTGAGAGTTCGCAAAGCACCGTTTTGTGATACAAACAAGACGCTGTTTGTGAAATGTGCTTTGACGCCACAAGTTTCACTTTCCTAGGAAAATACCAGAAAAACAACTTTAAGTAAACTACAAGTACCTACTCAGAGATTGCACTTCAAGTAGAGTAGGTTTTGTAAACGTACACACTAAAAAAGAAAAAAAAAAGAAAACACGTCTGGTTGTGAGAGAACTTTTAAGGGTTCCTCGGCTTGTCCATATTATTCACCTTAAGAAATTAATTTTAAGCACCCCCTAAAAAGGCTCTTCGTGAAATACATACAAAGGGTGCTTTTAAGCTACTTTTTTAATCCGAAAGAGCTCTTCATCGCTAAGTTGCCTCTCTGGTGCGCCAGGGGGCGATGGGCAAGTCGAGGAACCCCCTGGGTTCTTTGACTTGTCCATAATGTTCACCCTTATGAAGTTATTTTAACCATCTCCTAAAAGGGTTCTTTGTGAAACACCTAGAATGGGTTCTTTTAATCTCCTTTCTTCATGCGAAAGAGCTCTTCCTGGCTCAGTTGCCTTTCTAGTGCGCCAGGGGGCGATAGATAGCGCTTGAGGCGAAACTGTTCTTCACGAACTAAAAGTCGTCTCTGGGCGTCAAAGAACGTTGCAAAACGGATTTTTATTTCTAGCGTCTAAAACCACTAATCTCCACATCTTTTCAGGACTTGGTATTCATGAGAAAAAACGCCAAGTTACTGAGCTTTGGACGCACGCTCGACGCCAGATATTCTACAGAAGAGAGCCATTGCGCATGCTCGGCACAGGTTCTTCAGCCCGCTATACACGTTTGTAAGTGCGGTCTCAGGGCGCCGCCATGTTGCCTACTGGGGTGCGCTTGGGTGCGGCCATAATCCGAATATGACGTTTTAGCAAGGCTTCGTAATTGGATTAGGCCACGTCCAAGCGCACCCCAGCGAGCAAGATGGCAGCGCCCTGAAGCTGGACTTGCAAACGTGTATAGAAAAAAAAAAAAAAAATAGCAGCGCGCAGACGGCGATTATTGGAAGGATCTATATACAGTCTGCTCTAAAGACCTTTTCTGTGTACTCTCGTCCCCAGCCACCTAATAGACGTATCCGGTATGGGCGACGAAAAAATACTAAAAAGTTTCAACCTGCGAATAGTAAAAAAATAAAGGGGCCTAAATGCCTTATATTGGCGTGGCAAAGGCAAAACAATGTTTTCGCAAATACTGGAAGTTACGTCAATTCAAGATGGCGGCGCACTTGCAGAAAAGGTCTACAGCGACCAAAAACTCCCCAATATCGCAAAAATCGCGAGCTCCGCCATCCCACACCTTGCCGATTTCAATGGACATCACGCCGTGTGACGTCACGCCACCTGACGTCAGGCGCTGCGATTTGACGACGTCAGTCCAAAGCGATGCATGGTGTGGCCCTAAAAAGGCGCGCGCGCAGACGCTGGGCTCTTTGATGACATACGGATTTCTGTGCGTGCGCAGGTTCTGTGGGCGAACGCGCTTTACTTAAAGACCCCGTTGATACTTCTTTTACAAGTAACGACGACCATTACAGATGACAAAGCACATTCCGCTGGCACAAAATGGCGGAATTCAGTTCAAACTAGGGGTGTGCGAATAGTGGTTTGAATCGAATAGCACAGAGTCATTCCTAGCTTCTGCACTGTTGATAGAACCGGCCGTCCTGGCTTTCACATGCGTTATCAAAGCTATGAATGACGCAGCGCTATTCCATTCAAACCACTATTCGCACAACCCTAGTTCAAACTTCTGATGTGCGCTGCCCATTCGCTTCCTAAAACCTGCACCATCACGCAGTCGGCGCTGAAGAATGTCGCTACTTGTAGGAATCTCTTATCTTTGGACTTTAGCTTTATTCGTTCGTAAATATCAGGTTTGTGGTTTGTAATGCTTTAAAGTTGATTACATTCAAAGTTCCACATTCGCAGAATGACACTAAAGATGCATCACGAATGAAGTTAAGAAAAAAAAAAAAAAACAAAAAAACAACAAGATATTAAAGACGCGGTGGTTTCTAATGCCTTGTTTCGGAGGGCTTTCTCGGGCCCTTGTCTCGATGTTATGCAAAAGCAAGTATTGTCCGGTGGGTTGTTGGAAACCCGTGATACATAACACGTCCGTGTGCATACGTTCGCCATATTTTGTCCGGATTTGACGTGTATCGACCCAAGCGATGGTTCCAATAAATAGTCGGTATGGAAAGTACGGTGGTTTAAAATTGAAAATCCGGTAACGTCGAAACATGACGTTTTATATGAGATAGAAAAAAGACAACAACAGCAACAACAACACGTTATTATGCTAAATATCATTCGTGCAATTTAAAGCGAAACTGGATAGCACCGTGCGCCCGTCCGCTGCTTGCCGCACCGATGGTATTCAAAATTGCTTGCGTGTTAGGTTGCAGGCTGCTTTGTGCCAAGTGGATGTAACCTTATCTTCCGTTCAAAATAAACGAACCAAGGATCCACGAAGCTACTTCTAGCTCGCGGTAGTGCCAACCCTGGCTTCTGTCGACGAGGGGGGGCGCACAGACGTCGCGGACATGTTTACAACTGTTTGGCTCCGATGTTTATTGTTTCCCGGCTGCTATAATAAACTCATCATGCGGCCAGGGCAGCCCTCCAAGTGATCGCCGCAGGAGGTGCCACTTTTACTTGTAATCCTATTGCTTCGAGATCAGCGATTTGGGTGGCAACCACACGCTCGGATTTGCTGGATATATATTAGGGTGTTACTGTCGAAGACGTTCTCAAGTTATTGCTCCATGTTGTGCCATCTGTAAATGATAGCGCCAAACGGACGGTTTAGTTTACATATGCTCCCTCTGCGCACATGGAATAACACGCTTTTCTTTTCTTTCTTATATTCCCCCGGAAGCCTACACTCAGAAAATTTCAGTTCGATAAATGCACCACCTAAAGCCGCCTTGGTGAGAAGTTTTATTGCACTTCGTTCATTGGCTTATTTATATATATATATTTTAACACTGAATAGCGCCATTCAGTCGTAACTAAGTGGTAACCTTGAAATTTCACCTCCGTTACAAATGATAAAATATTAACCCAGTTTAACATGCCCTCTCCCGTTAAGACAAAAAATATATAAATATGGTGATGTGTGCAGCTAGCATCATATTCATGTTGCTATACTTTGCGTTAACTATTTTGTGCTGCACTGTTGTGTAACCTTATCTTCCGTTCAAAATAAAAGAAGCAAGCACCCACCTGCCTGCCCTGTCCACTGTGATGCAGCCCCGCACTACTCCGACAGCGTGTGACTTCGTCTTGTGTTCCATTCGAACGCGTTCAGGTTTGTCGGCTCATTGCGCACCTCGTGCCTTTGTTTACCCCCAAACGAGCACACGTGATTCTGTTTTTCCCCCGACCTCAATCAATGACGGCGTGTGCTTGGTTGCGTCGCCATCGCGCGTTTTCTGCTCGTTCTGTGTGTTGGTCTTTGGCGTGCTCCTCCTCGCGTCCCGATGTGCCAAAGAAATATTCTGGAACGTTTGCTCGCTGTTTAGCTTTGTTAGAGTTGACGCTGACTGTAGTTGAAAAGCAAGCTGCTTATTGTTTAATCCTATTAACACCATGATCCCACTCCCTTTAAAAAATCCCAACTTGCCCCTCCCCCAACCGTTTTAAGCTGTAGTATAAGAATTTCCACATACTTTTGTGTTAGTTGTTGTCTGGCTTAGTTTTGTTTCGGTCGCTCGATAAAAATCGTTTAGCTCTCACTGTATAGACCTTTCCATCGCTTATCGCCCAGGCGAAAAATGTTGAGTCACTGGACTGTTACGCA